TTCTGTTTCTCTTAATCACTATGAAATTGCGCAGATTTCTGCTCGCACAAAGTGCAAGAAAGATTCGTCGAAAATCTTATTTTTCATTAATAACACAGAACCCCTACTGCATTCACTATTCTGCTCATTTCTGCCAGCCATAGTCGGGTATATTGTAGCTTATTATGTGTGCTGCACAAAAGGCTTGTAATTTAACGACTTGTGCGCTTACTAGTTGCTTCTAGAGATTTTGTTGATTTTTTTGCTTCTTTGACGTTATTGATCTCAACCAGATGCAAGCAGTTGAATTTTCAGAATTCTTTTGTGACTGTAAATAATTTCCTTTTTTCCCTCTCAAAGTTGTAATGCAAAATCTCTAGAGGTAAAAGTCTTTGATAATCCATTTATTGGTCTAAAAATAAATATCGCTTTGCTATTACCCCTCAGGACTCCATCTATTTCTATTAACAATGCCCAGAATGTTCTCTTATCAAATACATTGCAGCCTTGTAGTTGAGTATGCTCGAGATTTGAAAAAGCAAACAATTTAGAATGTGAAATACTACAGTTCTCACAAAATCCACAATCTTAATGCTCAACCTATATACCTTTTTAATCGAGCTGAGTGGGTGATACTGCTCTCCGGAAAGTTTGCTGGTTCTGATTCAACTTACGGGGATAAGACTCAGACAAAATGTAAAATATTTTAGCTTCTAGAAGCTTCTTCAGATCCTCACTCAGCTTCCTGCTTCCTGGTAGCGCCGCCTCCTCATCATCAGCATAAGCCTAACTAGACAGTTGACATATGAATGAATTAATCGGCTGAAAAGCAAACTTTGTTTTGTTTTTGCAGTTGAAAGTCATAGTTTGCTTCATAAATGACATTTCGCTGAGTAAAGCAGGTGTAAGGGTGTTTTTTGTGCTTTGCGTAATTTATGTATCTAGAAGTTATGCTAGAAGGTATCGCTGCCACGAAATTTTTCGCTCATCTGGAGTGCATGAAAAAAATTTACATAGAATTATTCCTTTTATAAACACATTACTTTCATCCGCATTTTTTTCATATCTTATTTTTGGTTCTTCGTACCTTTTCTTCCTATCATTTCTTCCATTCCATCCATCGTTATTTTTCTTTTCAGCTGAAATGCAATTTCTAATTAGCTGTCTTATCTATCCTCATGCTATTCATTTCCTCTTCTCCCATGTTCATTCATTCGTCTGCAAAAATGTTTCCTGTATGTTTCTTGGTATCTATACTAATGAGGTTCGTCATTGAGTAATTAGTAACGTCTCATAACAATCTCTTATTCATGAAAGTGTCGTCCTCCTGATTATTATGCGCCTCATTGGCAATCATCAATGATCTAAGGAACTCTATAAATTCAAGCCCTTTTACACACTTGTTCAGTAATCTTTTTTAAATCTATTGTTTTCCTCTGTTTGGCTGAAATAATTTCACTCCTTTTGCTCAGCTGGCGATTTCCCCTTCAAGATTAACCGAGTACAGTGTGCATTTTTTTCCGAAAATCTCATTTGCCTAACGCAATCACCGATTGGGAGGAAGCAATAAACAAGTGCCTTACTTAACCCTTAGTCACTTGCTCCTGACTCATGGTGCAATTGCTATTTTCTTGCGAGTTGTATTACATTATTATCGTAATTATGGCATGCTCAGCTAAGTTTCAAACATATACTTTGATGTTCTTTGGACGAACTGAATTGTGTCTCGTTGGTTCAAAAACGATTTTTTAAATGCCGTTCTGGACTGTGGAAGGTTGCATTTTATTGACAAGTAGAGCCATCTTGTATGAATAAACTTCCAAAAAATTGAAAAGTAATTTTTCTAAGGAGTAGGGCTTTTACACAGAATACGAGAGCCAGAATTACCAACCGAAACCGTAGCTTTACTGTGAAAATTCACGTTCTGACATTCTTCTTGTTGCAATTATTCTTACAATTTTTGGATAGTATGGTTACGATACCCTTTATGTACAAGTGGCTCCTACCAGTATCTTCCGCAAAAATTGTAAACCTCAGATCTCAAATTGCCTCATTGAATTTTTGTTGCAATCACTGCAGTATATTCTCATAAATAAATTCTTATTGGCCGTTCATTTTTACATGATAAATTTTTGACTTTACTGTATTGTGTCATATGCCACAAAAATAAACCTCTCGATCGTATGAAAAAATCACGAAGTGGAGTATGAATGTCTTCCTTTTCATATGAGAATGCCAATGTTTTTTATTTGAATACTCTTGCTCTTACTTACATGTCATCTTGATCATTTCTTGTCTTTTGCCTTTTTGATGGATAGGAGACTACAACAAAGACAGGCGTGAGCGAATTAAATTTTCTGAGCCTCAAGGCTTCATTCAAGCTTAAGTCTGCTGTTAGAGCAAGCCTGCTGTCTCCATGATTTCGCTTTTGAATCGGATTTAATTTCAATTAACATCATCTAGACTTTTCCACGTCGTGTTGATTCTTTGCCTTCCCTCAAAGATCCATTTCACCTCTTTCCTGCGAAGAATCTTAGTGAGTACTGCAATGGCAAAATTTTCAAATGCCACCAGCATGACTTTCTTTGAGAGACGCATAATGAAAAGGTTTAGATGAGTGATAACCTCCATATAATGATAATTACGATTCTAAATAATCCATGCAAGACCAACCTCCTCCGTTCACAGTCTCTTTTCTTTCTTTGCCTTTTTAGCATGAGGATTGAAAAGAACTGGAAGGCGGAATAATGTACTACGTTGAATGCTATTATTTTCTTTTGCACATGCAGAGAAGATAGGCCAATCTCAACAAAAGCAGGATATTTCTGAGCAATAAAGAATATTGTATAGCGGTTTATTGGCCCTATGCAAGGCGAAGTCATGTGATCCGCATACTTTTTGACTTGGCACTAGGCAAAGCTACCCATCCATTAGGAAAGCTTCGTTTCTCCATGGCCTAAAGCAACTTACGTCAACTCTATTTTTCAAAGTGTGTGAAGAACTTTCTGCAGTTTAAGATTACTAATAACTTCATTTTTCTGCATAAGTGGAGCAAAATGATATTTCAAATTAACTCAAGAATTTTGCGACTCTCACATAGTTTGCAAAAACTGCCAACTCCATTAATTTTGGTTCTAGAATATCATAGTACACTGTGATAATGTAATTAATTCTAATTCGTCAACATTGCTAATATCAAGCTAGTCAAAAGTGGCTATCATACAGGTTGGATAAAAATACTTCGACCTTTACTTTTCATATTGGAAATTTACTAATATAAATTCCTAATAAACTCATTTATCATTAATTATCTTAAATGTCAAATGATTAAGAGTCACAAAGCTATTATCAGGTCCAGTTTATGAACTTCATATACAAAAACAAAATGACTTGCTATTCACTTTATTTTTTCGAATATTTATTCGAGAAAGGCAGATTTATGTATACATGAAGAAAATATTCAAATTGCATTTTCCACTTTATCAGTGAGTTAATCGCATGGGATTTGTAAATTTCATGTTTTTTGTTTTGACACATAATGGCGCAAATCTAGGTTACGATAAGAAAAACTCTTAAATTCTCATTTGTAAGGCAACCTCATATCAGTAAGCTATTGGTTTATTTGTTTTTATTTTAATTTTTGCACTCGAGAGAAAAAAAGGCATCAAAAAGAAAAGAAGATCAAAAAGTACAAACAACGCATAAGATCAGCAATCCTTGGCCTCAGACTGAAAAATAAAATTAAAGATGGATCAAGACATGAAGCCTTAGAGTCATCTAGCAAAGTAAAAAAATAGTGCACTTGTCAAAAATTTCATCTCAAGAATCCGCTTGGTCTAGAATTTTTTAAATAGAAGTCTGTACAACTTTGCGCCTTTCGAATGGTTAGTAGGTTTTGCTAGTATTTTTTGTAAATTTCCTGAGGTTTCTAACTCTTTCGTGGTCTGCAAAAAACTGTGCAGCTTCTGTTTTTCCGAACCTGTCGCAAATGTCAGAGCTCACAAAAACCGTCTTCTGCTCGTCATCAGTTCATCAACTTTGCTAGCATAAATTTCATTGAATTTGGTTACTCTATATTTTGTTGCAAAATGGATAAAACTCGATATTACAAAAACATAGCCTCGACAAGTCAGAAGCTACTTTCAAATGCAGAAGGGTATGACTTCATCAGTGCTAAAAACCCCGAGGAGCTTAGGAATCACTAAAAATTGTCCGTTGGGGCTTTGTGGGATGTAAAAAGCAGAAAAATCTTCGGCTAAGGGAGGGCTTACGCAGGTGGGGAGGTTTTAGCCAGGATTTGGCTTCTTCAGCACTTCTAAATGTTCGAAAAAACACTTTTTTCAGACACTGTGATGTCAGATGTCATTTATTAGTCTTCTGCATCGATATCATACGCTGAATAGTTAATTGCACCAAATAGCTTTCCGAATAGCTATTTCATTAATTCTCAGCTGAAAAACTTGTGCCCATGTTCTCTTGACAATTGCCTTGCAAGCTCTCGAGAGCAAGAAAGCGGAAAACGCAAGCGACACGCTTTCTCTCCAGCTTTTCTTTTTTTTTCTTTTTGTTCTTTGCTGTCCCCGAGCAATCTCTCAGTGCTTTTGCAGCGGGTTCTAGTGGACATAATCGTGCTAAATGTATGCCGTAAGTGATCCTATTAGGCCCGACAAGAGCGAGGCGGAAGGGGGCATCGAATATGGACAGCCAGAGCCCTCGGGGCGCGGTGTTCGTTCGTCATTCCATTCATGTCTCATCAATGACATCACAATGTTTTCAAGGGCCCTCTGACAGGAGGGGGGATAGGGAGATGTCAGGGGGTTGTTGGATTCCGCGAATGCCTTGTCAGAATCTCTTTGAAGCTGCTGGGGCTCAGTCAGGGGCGTAACCAACAACTCTCGCGCCTTGCTCTTGTTATTTTGCTTTCGCCTCACAATTCTATTGTCACCTCCTCCTCCGTGTCCGAATTTCGCATAAGGAAGCTCGTCCTTTGCTCCTCTAATAATAAGTAACTTATAACCTTTATATTTAGGGTTTTCCAAGCCGGAATGCTCAGCAGTGCGAAAAGCGTCGAGCAGTGCAGGAGCAGACCGAGCCGACATTCGAAACCGAGACGAGGATCTGTCGTCGATTGGCTTAATGGCCTCTCCGATAACAACACCAGGGATAACGAATGGGAAAGGCAAGCCACTTTTTCCATTTCTTCGATTTTTTTCGCGTCAAAATTTCCATACTTCAAAGAGAGAAAAAGTACAGACAATAGAAGCTTTTTCTGATGTTCAGTTCACCAGCAAAGTCCTAAAGTTATGGCAACAAAGTACAGTTTTTCTCGCGGAATTTGCGTGATTTGCGTGATTCGCGAAATTTGCAGAGTTCTTTTCCCAGAAAGCAGGATTCTGACTTTTTATTTGGGGAGGGGAACTTTACGAACCAGTTCTATACAAGCTTATCATCTAAATTTGTTCTTAGCACACAATTGCGAACATAGCAGAAATCAGCCACGGCCCACCATATGCCTACCGTAACCCCCCCCCCCCCCAAAGGATTACGGTTTCACTGAGACGAGACTACTTCCTCCTGCAGCTGCGAATACATCAGTTTCACGAAAAGTTAAGACCAAAGTTTGTAAATCTTGCAAATCTCGCCACTTCTTTAAACTCTGCAAAGCTCGCGAATCCAGCAAATACTGCAAATCCTGCAAATCACACAAAAATGGTCGTCTTCCACTATCATATGTGAATACAGCTACCTAACTTGGTATACTCTTTCTAGAGTTTGAAAATCGTAAAGTTACGGAACTACGATTTGAATTTGTAGGTTTGTATTTTACAGACACAAAATATTGTAGCCAGTTTTTTGTTGTTGAGATCTCTGTGCAGCTGCAGAACAATCAAAACAACGAGCAATTCAGACTTCGAATTTATGCGACGAGTACCTGATGCAGGTGTTAAATAATTATTAGTTCCGAAAGAAATCAAAGAATGATGCCTAACAGGTGTCGATCCTTAGCTTTGAGACCATTTCTGAACAAGCACTAGATCAACATTTTTCACGAATTTTAAGCAAAAAAAGTCACTCAACAGAACAGAGCATACGGTAGCAGACAATTTCCGCAAAGGAAATCATCTATCGAATTCGGTGAGCCATAGCGGAAGTTTGCACTAGTTGAAGGAAATTGTTTTGAAGGAGATTTTATTTCCCGCGAGAGATCGGGCAAATTGTGTTTTGTCAAATTATACGCTACTCTTTGTGTGTACTTTTGTTGCTTGGTAATCTACAAACTTTCTAGATTACGTTGGAAGTTTACAGCAGATAAAACCACACTTCATTTTTTTATGGCGCTTGGGAAAACAATTTTTTGCAGCCACCCAACAATCTCTCGTCTATAAATTGTAATTACTACAAATTTTCTGGAAGTGTTATGCGGGTGATTGAATGACTGTACATCGGGTCTCAAGCGAGTTACAGGAAATAGCAATTAAATTTCGTCTCCTATGTGATTAGTCTACTACAAAAAACAGAGCAATCACGCAAAACAAGCTATGATATTTTGTAGTTATTTAGAATTATAAAACACTTTCCAAAGAACAGCCAAGATGATGAGAGCAGGTTCTGGTTTCGCGCAATGCCTCATACAGAAGACCATTTGACAGGATATGAACAACTAACAAATTTGCGTGCTGCTGAAAAATACATAGGCTGGAAGAAAAAGAGTTTAAATGGTGGCAGATTGCCAGCTTGGATGAAGAATGAACAATGTCCATTTTTGTCTTTCAACTCTTGTGAACATAATGAGCAGTGAAGCTCAGGTACTACCTTTCCTCTTAAACGTTCTGTCTTTCCCTAATTTGCCTTCATTATTCGTGAAATGTATGAAAAAAAGTTGGTCCAAATTTTTGCAAACTAAATGACACAAAATAATAGAGATAGCGAAAAGCTTGGCAGTGGACAGCTACATATGTGGAATTTTTCTGGACTTGTTTCCTAAAATTTTTTTGCAGTTGGAGGTGGGGAGGGGAGGTGAAAGAATTTTCTCAGATCAGTTGATTACCAACGACTTCCGAAAAAAATTCACGGAATGCTTTCTGAGTATCTCGTAACCCTGATATTTTCCATTATGTTTCTGTATATGATTGATTATCAAATTTCATATGTAAATGGCCCAGTTTGGTATTTATACGTGAAAATAAATTACATGCTCTATTCAAGCTTTTGTGGACCATTCCAAAACTAGCAAATTAAATACGGCACAGAGCTAATCGAAATCTGATATTCAGTACATGAAGAGATTCTCAAATTCCTGCAGTCCTCATGTTTTATGTTTTGGAAGAAAGTCAGAGGGGTATTTACTTTTCTAGCAGTTACTTTTGATTTTTTTTCAGGAATTAGTGAGATCATACAGGATTTGTATCTGTTTTTACAGGTTCTGATAATAAATACTTCTGAGAAAAATCACTTTCAGTGCGTGCTCGTCACCCCGTCTAACTCGACATGGAAGTGTCGTTTCCATTGGCGAAACTCAGCCGGATGAAGCGACTTTACACCGTCTCAAGCTGCTCACAGCTCTCAAAAAAGAGGTATGTACGTCTGTGCAACAGCGGAGGAGGCAACAAGCTCTAATGTCAATGCTTTAGGTCAAAGTGATTATGGAAGAGGCTGTGACGAAGCGGCAAATCGACATCAATTCACCCTATGTCACTTCCTTATGTGGTATGTGTGTGCTTTGCGGGACTGCATGCGTTCGTGTTTTGGTCTTTCGTCGCATTAGAGCGCCGTTTCGAGAACAGGGCACTCATGGGTGTGGGCAATGTTATTTGCTTGAGTTAGCCAAAAGGGAGCCAAGTAGAAAACATCGCAAAGTGATGTGACGTGCGTCAAAGTGAGGGTCCGAAGCTGGCGAAGCTGTGAAAAACAGCACAAACACACTCGAAAATTGCTTCCGAAACAAACAATTTGGTTATACACTCAATATCGAGAACCTCACACGTCTCCTTGGGAGCAATGAAGGGATAGAAATGGCTTTTTTAAACTTGAAAGCGGAAGAACCATGTTCAACATTCGAAAACTGCTTCCGAAAAACAAACAATTTGGATACTCATTTGATGTCAAAAAGCTCACACGAAGGAAGTGGCTATTTTACATTGTTTGAATTTTAAAAAAATGCTTGTTGAAAATCATTCTAAATCCCTTCTCCTCACTGAGAAATCCCAGAAACGGCCTGAAAATGAAGAAGTGGAGTTAGATTTTGCAACCCTACATTATTTAGAAACAACGGCTCCCGACGCAAAAAAAAAGAAAAACTCATTTTCCATAACTTTGAGGAGATACAAAAGAAGAACCGTTTCCAAATTGTGTATTTTGTTGACTCCATAATTCGTTTGTTTTCACTTCTCCCCCTCCCCCCTCTCCCCTCTTTCATTCGGATCTCTTCTCGACAAGAAAAAGAATGGAGACCGTTTCTCGTGCGAAGTCAGAAGCAAAAGTTCAGCGAAGTAATTTAATGGCTTTTTATTCCTACCCATCCACAGAAAATAAATAAAAGCTGGTAATTAAAAAAGTCAATGAAAGACGGATTTCAAGATTGAAACCGGATTGGAAATTGCATTTTTCATAGCAATCGTTATATTCCTTTCTTTTTCTCTTTTCGTCGCGGCCCTCATTTGTCACAAGATCAAGTTCTTTCTGGCAAATTCCAGTGAAATCACAGAGAAAAATCAACAAAAATTGTTAATGTATGCTCGGTGTGTTTGAAATTGATATTTTTTGTTACAGTAGCCGTCGAAAATTGTCTTATGGATGGACTTCGACGTCGACTTCTTGGCCTATTTGGCAACCGTACATCTCTCGCCTTACTACATACCATTGCCAAGACAAACCCAGTGGCTGAGCAAGTCTTGGTGAAAACTTTGGAAAGGAACTCAGAGTAAGCTTGATTTTTCTTGGCACTTTTCCAAAAAAGGAAAAATCTGAAACTGTAATTTGAAGTTAAGAGGACTCATACGAACAAAATTTGCATATCAATTTCATTGAGTCTTTGATGATTCTTCAATAAAAAATTATATGTGCAATAGATCTAATTTGTACGGACAAATCATGGCAGGAAAATTTGATAAGCTGCGAAGCTTATTGTAATAGTATTTTACCGGAAGTGAATAGCGTTTATTTATTGAGTTATTTGGGCGATAAACAAATAAATTAATCCACTCTATTTTTTGTTCCTTGAGTATAGTTTTATATATGAATCATATCCGTTACCAACACTAATTTGTGTTGACTAATTTAGCTAATCTGTACTGTCTAAAACGCCATGTTTAGGGATCATTATATTCGCAGGCACTGCAAATTATTACATACAGCAAAAGAAACTTGATTTATGCATATTTTTTTCTTTTATTTCTATAATCATCCGACAAAATCCGGCCGACTTTGACATAAATCCCAAGCGAGCATTCTAGCAAATTGTTTGATCTCTATAGTCTTGTCTCCCTGAACGAATCTGCAAGTGCATAATCATGCCAATTTGATCGCTTTCGATGCTGCTCAAGAGCCCACTCAACTTAAAAAACTTATAGAGCTTGAAAGCAGCTTGAGCAGTTATCGAAAATGAATTTGCTTTTGCAAGGGGAAATAAGAGAGTGAGGAAGAAGCGGCAAGAAGAGGAGCACTTAGTGAGGATGGGGAATTTGATTGAAATGACGTACTTATTGAGATTTAGAAGGCTGATTTGAAAAAGCGTATGTATTAAGACTTATATGGCCGAGTTATAAGGGCTGCTCGTGCAAGGGGAAATATGTCGACATTTTCATTCGCTTTTCTAAAAGTTTCTGGAAGTAAGTAGATTACACTCGCAATGACTGCCCTCAGTTTTTCTTCCATCAAATTGCACATTGAAAAAAAAGATTTTTTTCTTGGTTACTGACACTCGAAGAGAAAATAAACATTCCCTATATAGACTTATGGAAGAATAAAGAAGTGGTACAAGTGCGATACATGATTATCAAAGCTGTTTTGCATACATACTGTTTTGCTTCAACGAAAGAAGATGTGCACTTGCAGATTGGCATTGACAGCGTTTCTCTACTCTCAAGCATGGTTTCGAAAAATTTCGTTATTTTTTGTAATGGATGCAGACACATCTTCGCAAAAAAAACCACTATCAACCCAAAACATGCTATAGGTTGCAGAAAATGCATGCAATTTTTAGCCAGTAAAGAAATTTCTTCACAAATTTCTTAGTAGAAATATGTTGAAAACCAGTGGCGTACATAAGATTTCAGTTCGGGAGAGATGGGGATGTGGCGGCAAAATTTCTTTCTGATGAAGATGCGTAGCATTGCGTTAGCGACGTCCTCAGAAAAAATTTTTTGGTATGCTTCCCAAAATTTTCGCCGGCCCATAACACCGAAATTTTGGAAAAAGAGGGCATGGCTAAGCCACGCCTCCAAAAAATTTTCTTATAAGGCTAAATTAAATTTTGAAAAATTTTAAAAATTATTTTTCTTATTTACAAGTATAACCAAGTCACTCGCACATTTTTATAACTCCTGCAAGCAACTTTCAAAAAGTCCCCCCCCCCTCCTCCTCTCCCCTCTGTACGCAATTGTTTAAAACATATACCAACCAGTAGCGGAGCCGGCGAAATTTATGAAATTTACTTACATGGGTTGTAAATATGTGCAAGTGTGTTCATGTTTATTCTTGTGAATGATTGAAAAAAGTCTCAAAATTGTTTAAAATTCGCCTTGTTTTGCCTCCCACCCCCTCTTTCCGGACGGTAATCCTGGCACCGCTACCGATACGGACCGACTAATGTTTTTGCCAATACTATTTTAGTCGATTTGAACAATTGCCGAATACGCTAATAAAGTTTTTGACCGAGTAACATAATAGCACAAAATTCTCCAAAATTCCTGCTCTCTTTTCCACTAGCGCATAGCATCATGAAAATGCTATTGGGCAGACCAAATAGCAATCAACAAATTGCATGTCTATAGAAAGATAAATTGGCACGAAAATGCTTGCTTAACAATCTGAATGCTTCCTGCTTGACAGTGAAAGTGAACCATGAACCTTATTTCTTCAGGGACTGCGTATACAGGGTGTCCCATGAAAATACGATCACCGTTCGATCTTCAATGACTCTCCTACTTCAAAGTCTTTTGAAGGAATACAGTAGCAAGTGATCCTCCAATGCTCTTCAAAAATGTGACAGAATTTTTGTAAAAAGTCGCATAATGAAATCAGCATGCTTAACCCATTGACGATGACACCTAATTTTGCGTGGCGGCGCTGTGGGACGACGCGATTTTGCACAATACTTTCGGTGTAGAAAGGTTTTGCGGTTATTTACGAACTGCAAGGTTGTTTTTTAAACAACTATAAGTACTTTCACCAGCGACAAAGCCTACAGATCTCAAGAATGCAAAAAATTGGAAAAAATATTGATATGTGACAAAAATACTAGGTATAGGAATAATATGACTTTGCAAGAGGTGTGAGTCACCGGTGGTCCACATAGTCGTCAATGGATCAAAAAACCCTGCTACACAAATTTCCAGATTTTTCGGAATTCTTTTTAACGAGCGGCCTAATTCTCAAAGGCGCTGTATGCTAAAAGTATACACCGTAATGCTACGCTAGCAAAGAGGAATCAAAGTTTCGCTCCATACTATAAATCCAAGTTGAAGCGAGCTCTACAGAATGATACTTGAAGATCGGCGAAAAACCTTGGAGCAAGCGAGTTATTAACGATCAAACAGTGTACATAGTATTTTTTGGGACACTCTGTATAAGGGAGGAAAGACAGTCTAGAATGAATTTTCTTCGTGTATTTTGATCAAAGCATAGTACGGGTAAAGATCTTCTTACTTCATATCTTGGAAAGTTTAGCGTATTTGGTAATTCTTGTCGATAATAATTTTTTTTTGCTCTATAAGTAAGTCTCTGGAAGTAATCCCCGACTTTGTTGGGATTTGATTACAGCATCTTGCAGCTTTGAAGCGCATTTTCGTTGAGTCACGAAGCACAATTGATATAAAAATCTCTATATTCGTTACTCGGATCGCCATAACAAAGGAACGAACTAGCATATTGCTCTGTCTTAGAATGAATGGAATTGAAGAAGAATTTTAGGCTATTATTTGGAGAAACATCTATAATTTTAGAACCAGCTCATCTCATCCGCTGACATGGATTCGAGAAGCGCTCCATATGCGTGTGCTTTCACAAATTGCACATCATATTACGACATGCACAAGGTAAGATTTTGTGTTTAAAATCCAAAAGTCATCACTGAGGAATTTTGAAGCTCAAAACTCGAAGAAGGCAGTGATTTTGCTATTTCATTATTTCAAAAAACAATGCTCAGGGCAATGTAACTGCTCTTTTTGAGAATGACTGTAAACTTTTCGACTGGGCCACTACACAAGTTTCAGCTGGCATGATTTATTTGAGAGCAAATTCAACTTTAACACATTGACGACCAAGGCGTTTCACGGGCCTGTCAACATTTTCTAGATAGAATCACGCACAATTCCATTTACAGTACACCTACAGTAACGCTGAATGCTGGCAAAAACAGTAAAGGCTGTATCTAGGTCCAGCTTAAAAGAAAACATCCGGGGTGGGTTTGACACAAAATAGTAGCATTTCAACGACACATATGGTGCATCAAGCGCCTTGACACACCATGTGTGTCAAGCGGTCGTCAATGTGTTAAACTCTCCCAGTACTGAACTTGAGGACGCCAATTGATGGACTACGGTAATGGGCGAGGGTTTAGAGCTGAATTTCTCGGCTCTAATTCAATCATATGAGCTGCCGCTTGGGCAATGAGCAAATTCTTCCCCTTTAGGTTCCATCATTGGGGACTCTCTAGGTTAGCCACAGGTTCTCTCTCCCCCCCCCCCCCCGCCCCCTCTCGGAAATCCTGTGACTGCCACTGGTATCCACGTAAGAATAGATGCCAGATTTGCTTGGACATTGCCTTTAAGCCCCACTAATATCCCCTTGTAACGAACAAAGCATGCTCATCTGTGTTTTGAGCTTGTTTGGATTGTCATTACCGACAAAAACAATGGCCATTGCGATTGAAGCTTTGAAAAATGAATCAGCTCATTTCAGCCTGCGAAGATTATACGAAAACAATGCGCTGATGTTGGATCGAGCCAAGGGAGGCATGGTCGCCGCGCTTCTACGTACGTAAGCATAATTAGCCAGAATTTGATTAGTAAGAGATGAATGGATGAGGGTGACTGCTCTGACGGCAGTCACATTTGCTATGCATCATAGCAGAAACCATCCGAGTCATAAGAGTTTCACATTTGTTTGGAGAGCTGAAAACTGCCTTTTTGGCAAGTACGAGACTATCATCAAAACATCAGTTTTAAAAATGAGGAAAAAGACAGTTAGTGGGACCTTCGAGATTATACCTGCTGCGTCTGATAACCGTTAACTGTAGACCGAATTTTGAAGTGCTTGTGAGCTATTTCTGTGGCATTCTAATTTCGCAAGATCACTTTAAGCTCTCTTGCAACATATAAGTGTAGAGCCTCATAATTTAATGCAACTCCTCCGTTAGACTCAGGGCACTTCTTGAGCCGACCTCAGTTGAAATTGTCGGTGTACGGTTACTTTCCGACGATTTATTTTTGACACTTCCACAATTGAAGAAAAGCTCTTTCACAAGGCTTAAAACAAATCTAGCAAAGCTAGTAGCTTCATCTTGCGCAAAATTCTTATGGTAGTTGAATTTTTTATCCTCAAGCTAATGGCTTATTGATAATTATGGAAATAATCATTGTTTAAGCTTTACAGCATATTGCCTTCTCCATTTTCTTCCAGTTGAAAACGGGCCAAATTGTGTCTTACTACGTAGTTCTTTTCATTTGAAATTTAAGCAAAATTACAAAGCTGGTTAGCAGAACCTAAATTGTAAAATTTTAGTCTCATCATCTAACATCCAGTTATCTGCTAAGTATCACGAGCCATAATGCATCCCTTTTTTAGCAAGAAATTTTTTTTCAATCACTACTTGGAAAAGAGGTTGAGAAAGTTCAAAAAATCAGTCGACTAATCATGGTGAGACATTGCATTTTTGGAAGCTCTGTGGTGCTAAAGAAAAAAGATTGCATTTGAACCTATGTTCCCGAGGCCTTCACAGATCACAAAGTTTTTTTTTGTGAAGCACTCCACAGCTTGCCAATAAATTCACCACTTTATGGCTGAAGAAATTCTCTGCAGGTTTTTTGTTGTTTTTGCTAGCTGTAAAAAATGCAATAACCTAAAATAGCATAGTGATCCATAAAACATATTCTCACTATGCGTAAACAAGGAGTAAGATAAACAACATACATAACAAATGCTCTCCGTTAGCTTCCAGCTTGACGAGTGCTAGGCTCAATAAGTGACGAGTTCACGGTATAAAATCCGGATGTGCATTTGCTAAACTCTTTTTTTCCTTTTCCCATTTGCGTTCAGTCACTAAGATTTAAGACGTTTGCTTGGTTTTTCTGGGTCTTGTCTGTTCTCATTTCATCTAGAATGGGGAATGTGGGGGTAATTCATGCTTAACGACGGTTTTTCCTGAAAATCACATCTCACACCGGCAATTTTCGCTTTCCAACCTTTGGTAGAATTGCCTCTTGCACGTCAAGCAAATGCTGAGCGAGGCAGATCCAGTTAAACCATTCTGCATATTGCTATTTTCCCCTTTTATGCAGACAATTTTTTCCAATATTTTTTCCTCAAAGGGTCCTTTTTCACCCCTGAAATAATCCCCAAAGCAAAGGCAAGTTTTCGATCTCCAAATAAGCACTGCAGTCGTTTGCACTTTTTGTCACGTTTTCCTGACTTTAATGGCTCTTCGAAACCATTTGCAGCAGCTGAGTATCCTCGTCAAAGTTGAAGTCTGAAAATGGGAGCTGAGCAATTCAAAAGCAAGTTCCTTTGCAAACTTCCCTCAGTTTTTTTCAATGAAAATGGTAACAAAATTTCGCAAAGTCTGAGTTCTCCTCTGACATAATCTTTTATGCGGCTAGAAAGCCATTATTGACTCAACTCTCCTAATTGAATTTCACATGTGCAGAAACGGCTAAAGAAACATCTTTTCTAAGAGAATTGAGAATTTAAAATGGCGTCATTTGATCGAACTTAACTTTGTGTCTAATTGTGAGGAACGCTAGAATAAGAAGGACCAGTACATCAGTAATTAGTTGGATAGGACCGCTACAGTATCTTTTTTCACTTGTGCTGATTTGCTATTTGAGCGATAGCGTAATTGTTGATGGTTTATGAGAAGAGAACTTTATTAGAGTAATTTTGATAAATTGTAACTTTGGAAAGCCCAATTGGCTGGGAAAGAAACGAAGCAACAGCCATGACTGAGCATTTTTGAATAGATTATTTGATTCTACTGATTTTTGTTTCTTTCATTCTTGAAATTTCCAGCCTATTCAAAATTGCACCTCGCTCATCTATCACTTTACAACTAACAATTCGAATGAATGTATGCCGGTTAGGTAGAGCATAGCCTGAGTCTTAATGGAATCCTCAGTTTTTTCCAGAAAACCTTATCATATTTTATTGCTTTTTTGCCTTTTAGAGGCGAAGGCTCAGCTTTTACCAGAGTTTTCGAGCCACCCAAATTTACAATTATTTTCCATTTCCAGCAAGTTTATGACTTGGCAATCATATTAATTGAGTTACCCGAACTGAAAAATGAATGAGCGTAATTAATTTCACATGAGTATGCTGCCTGTGCTCTCAAAAACTAACTAGCGTGCTCAGAGAATTCGATGACCAAAATCTAATGGCTAGTCGTAAAAGTCAATGTGAGTATAGCACGCATTCAAGGATGGCTCTTTCTGTATATCTTCGACATTTCTCGTATACCGTCTCTTAGATTCAACGTCAAAAACTTTTTACACCGTAAAGTTTGCCATTTCCTTGGAAGTGCTGTCGCAAGCAAAAGCAAAAGCAGTCACTTTTTCTCACGGGAGAAAAACACTAGAAAAAATCTTGACGTAATAATTGATAAAAAACCAAAGAAAGGACCTTTAAACGAGTCAGTTTTATTGAAGCTTATCAACGTTCACAAATCTTAACGTCTAATTCATCATAAATCTGAATCAAAGCTCAGTGTTCCAACATACAGAGTGTCCCAAAAAAATGTGCCTACTGTTTGATTGTGAATAACTCTCTTGTGATGATGTGTTTCGAGAAGCTTTAGGTGCCATTTTATAGAGCGAGGTTGAACTTAGATTTACAGCATAGAGCGAATCACTGATCTCTCTTCACTACTGTAGGATTACGATAAGAACTTCCAACATATGGATTTAATGTGAAATTTACTATTTAATAAAACTTTTTTCAAAAATTCTGAAAAATCGTGTATCATGTTTCGCGCATGCTGATTCTACCTAACAACTTTTTACGAGTGTTTTCAGCTTTTTTGACGTTGTAATTACATTTCTGACAAATGCTGGGAACTGAGTTATTACGATCTACCGGAGATAACTTTGGAAAGAAGCATCATAGAAAAATGGAAATTTCAAAATCGGAATCAGCGGCTCCCATTACCACAAGAGTTTTTGGCTTGTTTGGTTCTGTTCGGAGGCCGAATATAGCCTCCAATGGCCCTAAAATCCTTGTCGAATTTTGTACCGTAATCCTACAGTAATGAAGAGCGATAGACGATTCGCTCCATACTACAAATCTAAGTTTGACCTCGCTCTACAAAACGGTACCTAAAACATCTCGAAACACTACATTACAAGGGAGTTATTTACAATCAAACAGTAGGCACATTTTTTTTGGGACACCCTGTATACGTCAGGGGAAAAAACTTCTTGTAAGAAGTGACAATTTTGTGTCGCCGCTGTTTACTTGCGTGGACATAAATAATAACATAGCGAAAAATGGAATATTTTTGACCACGAATTTAGTTCAGCTTTGTTTTTTGCTTGAGCATGATCGTACTCAAAAACGGCTAATCTCAGGTGACATTATGCTTTCGAATCTCATGACTCGGAATTGGTTTTTTGATAAAAATAAGTAAATAACAATAAAGTGGATTACGATAATTTTTGCTTTCTTTTACTATGTTTGTTTTTGCCATTTGATCAGGATGGAATCCATAGAGCAGGCGGGATTCTATTATATGGCCATCTGCTTTCAAATTCAATTTCGGTGCGAATGGAGTCTCGTAACCGGGCAAAATGTTTATTTGGGCTTCATTCTTCTTTTTTTTTAAACTCATTTCGCCTATAACAAAAGGATAATACCATTTTTTTCATCTTTCTTTCTTTACTTGCACTACATTTTTACTTGAAGGGGACTTGAAAGATAGGCATAGACAGACTAAAGAAAAATGCTCTCGTATTCCATATGTTGATAGTTGTGACAATATTTTCCCACTCTTGTTAATCACATCTGCGTCGAAGAGACCCCTAATTAAGCATTCATGCTCAGTTTGCTCGCAAAACAACACAAATTGTCAATTATGCATGCAATGAGTTGTTTTTCGTTTGTCTATCTCTTTTCTGGAATTTGCAGCAGTTTCGTAGCAGCCAGCTGAGCCCCAAGTTCTTTTCTGACTTCAGCTCTTGCATTCTAAGTACTTCAAAAATTGTTTTCAAGCGCAACTTGCTTCTGGAGCGTAGGTTGAGGATTTGAAAGTCAACTGGACGCTTTTACAAATTCTCTTTTTCTACTAAACGTCTTGTTGGATTTCGTTCGCACCGCTCTGAAAAGTCGTAACTTCTTCGTATCCCAGTGCTTTTTTTACCACTAACTTTATTGAAAGAGAGAGTCACCTATCTAATGTCATCCCGACGGCGTTCTATCACAGTTGCAGAGATAAAAGCGAAAAAGAAGATTTGCTTCGATTTGCTATGTTTTCCATTTGTCTAGAATAACAAAGCTTAATAGATCTTTTTTTCCTCTTTTATCTTTGCAACTCGTGTCGAGCAGGGCTCGGCACATGGTTTCTTTTCGAATATGCAAAAAAGCCTTCTCTGACTTTTGCAAAATTTTACGAAGGCTCCTTTGACTCAAAATCGGAAACGTCGACTAAAAAACCTACCCTAACTTGTGTTTTTTCAGACCGCAAAAACAATATCCGCCGCTTTTTGTCCCAAAAACGATATCCAGCTTGCTTATAAGCCACTTGTGAGCCCTGATGTCGAGTACAGAGCCG